GATGAAGTTCTGATTAAAGTGCTGGCTCCTTTTATTGGCACTCGCGCTTTATCCATTGACCTGAGCAACTGCTTTCATGTAACTGATGAAGGGTTCGGCGCTTTGTGGCGTAGCTGCGGCAAGAATGTCAAGACATGGAAAATGAAGTCTGTTTGGGACGTCTCAGCCAATCAGATTTTGGAGATGAGTGAGAATGCCAAGGGTTTGGAGGAGGTGGATTGGAGTAACTGCCGTAAAGTCGGCGATAATCTGTTAGGTCGTGTTGTCGGTTGGGTCCAACCTGATCCTCCACCCTCCAAGTCCGTTGTTATCTCCAGCTCCACAGCTCGTTCACGAACCAAGCAGCAGCAACAGAAGCATTCACCACAAAATGTCCTTCCACCCGGAACGGTGGTAGGATGTCCGAAGCTGAGACGCCTCAACCTCTCCTACTGCAAGCACATCACAGATCGTTCCATGGCCCATCTTGCGGCGCACGCCTCGAACCGTATTGAGTGGTTGTCCCTTACGCGCTGTACATCAATCACAGATGCCGGGTTCCAATCATGGGCGCCTTTCAGGTTCGAGAAGCTTTCTCGACTGTGTTTGGCAGACTGTACATATCTATCGGACAATGCCGTTGTTGCTTTGGTGAACTCGGCCAAAAACCTTACACATCTGGATCTATCGTTTTGTTGTGCACTCTCTGACACAGCAACAGAGGTCGTCGCCCTGCGACTGCCCAAATTGAAAGAACTCCGATTGGCATTTTGTGGAAGCGCAGTCAGTGACGGAAGTCTAGAGAGTGTGGCACTTCACTTGAACGACCTGGAAGCTCTAAGTGTGCGTGGTTGTGTCCGTGTTACAGGACGAGGAGTTGAGAACGTTCTGAACGGTTGCGGACGACTCAATTGGGTGGATGTTAGTCAATGCCGGAACTTGGAGCCATGGATTCGAGCTGGTGGTGTGGCGAACTGGGGTTTCGATGCTCGAGTTGGTCAACGCCCTGCAGAATCCACGCCAGGTGAAATTTCTGGTTCAGGTGAGGGCGAAGACGATGCACCAGCACCAAAAGCCATGAGCGTTGCTATGCTCACTTCGCAGAACTTTATGCCACGCTCGGCGTTTGGATACAGGTCCAAGAGAGCAAGGCGCCCTGTAAGCTTTGTTATTGAAAAGGGGCGTGGAAGCTTAAGATGAAGATAGGAAGGCGTCTTGGATAACCTTGTTTGGAAAACGATAGTTGTTTGGAGGCGGTGCACAATGATAGGATATATGTTGCTTACAGCATTGGCGTCAGAGTCATGGAGCATTTGTCATTACATTCAAGTTTCATGCCACGATGCATAGGGGAATTGACGGGCCAGGACATGCATCACGAGATGAGACGAATGCGAATTGTGTTGAAAGGATACTTGGTTGATACCCTGATGGAAAACTTACCAATCTGCTAAGCTAGCCTACCTACCTAATAGTACTATACCTAGGTACTCATACAAGATGATTTGACGTAAGAAGCGACTAGAATTTGAATCATGCCGACCTAATTGTGTCGTCAACTTTCTTCCTGTAAATCCGACGGACCTTGGAGTTTAGAGCTTTAGTGGCCGAGTGCTGACCAACAGAGTTGAGTCACTTGGAGGCGCCGGTTCTTTCCACAATATTCCACCACAGCCACGTGACGTTGGATTTTGGAAGAGCTCCACTAGATTACCCAACGTCATGCTTCTCTGGCCAGGAACTTATATCGCTGCGTCCCCCGTCCCCGCTTCACCATTTTCCTTTGTAAACGCCTGCATTATCGATCGACGACTGCACCGACAGAACGAACGACGATGTCATTCACCCTCACTGTCCGCCAGGGCCCTGCGCGTCTTGCGCAGAGGCTTCCTGAGCTCTCAAAGACTGCTTTCCGCAACTCCGCATCCGCCCGAAGCTTCCACGTCCAGGCCAAGCCCACAGCCAACTTCTTCACCTCGCGCATCACACCCACTGCCATCCGCAATGCCTTCCAGCGAACGAGTCGCGCCGGCGGTCGTTATTACCACCAGGGTCCCCCTACTGGTGTCGCAACAGCCCCTCAGTCAACCAGCCGACGACTCTTGGTCGGAGGTGCCATCTTTGGTGGTACTCTTGTCGCCATTAACGCTGTCTTCAACCGTGAGACTCGTGAGGATGGCGGCATGCCCGTCTACGAGCGCGAATACCTGAACAACACCTTCTTGCACACTGGACTTGGAATTGGTATCATTGGATTGACGGCTCGACAAATGGTTCAGACTGGCTTTGTGTACCGAATTATGGTTACCAACCCTTGGGTTGTTGGCATTGGTGGTCTTGCTCTCAGCTTTGCTACCATGATTGGAACTCGGTCTATCAGCCCTGACAAGTAAGTAATTCGAAAAAAGATAATCGATGACGAAATTGAGTCGATTTTACTAACATCTTTGCAGCTATATCCCCAAGTACGCTCTCTGGACTGCCTTCAACGCCACCCAGGCTGCCTTTGTCGCCCCTCTTCTCGCCTTCGTTCCTCCCGTTCTTCTGGGCCGTGCTGGTCTCTACACCATTGCCATGATGGGTGGTCTTGCTATCGTCGGCGCCACTGCTAAGCAGGAGAAGTACCTCTACATTGGTGGTCCTCTTCTTGCTGGTGCCGCTATCGTTGCTGCCTCCGGTCTTGCTCCTCTCATCATCCCCGCCACTGCTGTCCGAACTCTTGCTTTCACTGAAAACCTCTGGTTGTACGGTGGTCTCGCTGTCTTCGGTGGTTTCACTCTGTACGATGTCCAGAAGGTCCTGCACCACGCCCGTCTCGCTCAGGCTGGTGTCATGCGCCGTGACCCCGTTAATGAGAGTATCTCTCTTGAGCTTGACTTCCTCAACATCTTCATCCGCATGGTCCAGATTCTCATGATGCAGCAGAACCGCCGCAAGTAAGCGATGTTTGTATTTGCATAAACCAGCTTTAGAAGCAACTTGTATTATTTTTTAAGCAAAAAGGATTATTGTTTTGTCAGAGGCTAATGAACTCCTCTCTTCTGTTATTGATCAGCTTGGTTTGTGGACCGAGATAAGCTCCATATATAATTTAAGGACTCTAAATACTTAAAAAAAAACAAAAAAAAAACAGATCAAGTTTCCTCTCCAACTTGCACGATGACTCTTATATACAAGTAAATTCTACCTAAATGGAATTTCCCATATATTTTCCTCTGCTTTTCATTGATATCATTTGTGACTCCTTCCAATCAAAAACCCAAGACCTTGATACATCACGGCTTATTCCAGAGGAGGGAATGGTCTCATGAAGTGACTAGGACATTCATAACCAGAGGGGTTGTTGTGTAGGTAAAGCTGGTGGTACTCCTCAGCAGTCCACCACTTTCCAGCAGGCGCAATCTCAGTCACGATGCCGCCCTTCCACCACTGCTTGTTGGCCTTCTCCGTCACCTCGCGCGCAATCTTCTCCTGCTCAGGGTTGTGGAAGTAGATAGCGGAGCGGTACTGGGGGCCGGTATCGGGGCCCTGCTGGTTGAGCGTCGTGGGGTCGTGCGTCTTGTAGAAGAATTCAAGGAGTTGTGCGTATGTGACCTTTGTCGGGTCGAAAATGATTTGCGCGGCTTCAGCGTCTGTTGCGATATTAGTCACCAAATTTTCTATATTCTTATGGGAAACGTACGGCCAGTCCTGCCACCGCAGACGGCGCGGTAGGTAGGGTTCTCGAGATCACCGCCGATGTAGCCGACCTTTGCGTCGATAAGACCCTTGTCGCCAAAGTGTCTGCGGTAGAGGTGTTCAGTGCCCCAGAAGCAGCCTGCGGCCACGGTACAGCGCTGTGCACCCTCGGGAATAACTGATGCGGAGGATTGATCAGGAGCGATAGAGAGGCGAGTGGACTGTGTAAAGGGACGGGCAAGACGCGCCAGGAAAGGAGGGAGGTTGAAAGCCATTTTTTGCCGACTACCGCGGGGTCAATTGTATCTATCAATCGCAAGTGTGTTTGGTGACTGAGCAAGCTTGGCAAAAAATTGAAGCTATCTTAATGGAAGGGACCGCAATGATATTTGAACTTTTTTTGCGGTTAATGAATGACAAATCGTCCGTCCGGAGAATGGGGAATTGTGGAATTGACGGGTGGAAGGTGGAAGGTGGAAGGTGGAAGGAAGGTGTGGCGGGCGGGGATGTGCAGTGCGTCACGGAAGCCGCAGATGACGATTGGATTAGAAGAGCTATATTGCTCTTTTGGGAAGGTGGCGGTAGGTAATCAAGGGTCTTTTGCCCCGCGGTTTCTTCTTAGTGAGAGGCCTTCTTATCCCCGTGGCTAAGCAGGAGCTAGGCACATTTTGAATGAATGGAATCAAAATGATTGAGGCTGAGTTGTTGATCAGAGGACCTACTCATTGGCTTGACGAATACAGTCAGAGAAAAAGAGCATATACTCACAATGTGTAAGCGGAATTTCTGGTTGTAAATTGGGCGTATTGTGTAAACTGCGATACGCTTATTATGAGACATGCATCTATACGCACATCTCACCTTCAACAAGACCCATTAGGATACTGATTTAACTGGCTTCCAATTCATGTGCGCATCGCATCATCTAATTCATTCTGCAGCCGCTCGGTGCCTTCAACATGCCCCCGAGGTCCCCCGACATCCGGCAGCGGACCAGGTTTAAGGCCTGTTCGTTACATCGTCGCTTCACAAGAACGATAACCTCGGAAATTCTGATATAGACGTAAATCATCAACGTTACAATACTTAAGGTTGCGCGAGAAACAAGAAAAGCAAATTAACTTTGCAACTGTTAACATCTTCCAAGTCAAATCTCGGAAACTCGCCGTTGTAGCACAATGCGGAGCTCAATGACTTGCTTTCTCCGCCGACTCGGCCGACCTCGGTCAACGCCGAATACGTCTCACCTCTGTAAAGTAGCAGTAATTGGACTGGCTATATTGACTACATTCCCATCTTCAAGTCTTTCCCATCCTTCATTGTTTCCTCACAACAATTTCGCAATGGCTTCTTCAGAACTCGCTCAACTTATTCCACCCGACTCATGGGATTCGCATATGCATATTGTTGATGTTGAGAACTACGCTCTCGACCCCTCAGCAACATACCGCCCAACCTCGCACTCTCTTGAGCAGGCCCTTGACTTTGAAACTAGCGTGGGTCTCCGAAACATCGTTCTTGTTCAGCCATCTATTTATGGCTTGAATAATTCGTGTTTGCTTGATGGTCTGCGGACTCTTGGTTCTGAGCGTGGAAGGGGAGTCGTTGCAATCGACCCTAAAGCCTTTGATGCCGATGAGCTCCGCAGGTGGCATGAGTTGGGCGTGCGTGGTGTGAGACTCAACCTGCAGTCAGTTGGGGCAGAAATGGATGCCGACGAATTAGAGCAGCAGTTGACATTGTATGCCGATGCTGTAAGACCATTGGGTTGGGTCGTCCAAGTTTACGTTCCCATGAAGATGATCGAAATCCTCGAGTCTATCATCCCAAAACTCAACATCAAGTTCTGCATCGACCATCTGGGACAGCCACCACTGAAAGACCAACAGGGTGTCGATATGTATGACTTGCCGGGCTTCCCATCTTTAGCTCGCCTGCTCAAGGGTGGTCTTACCTATGTCAAATTGTCAGCCCCTTATCGCATCGCCGCTCTATCTGATTATAGCGATCTGGATCCCCTCGCCAAAGAAGTAATTCGCATTGCAGGCAATACCCATGTCGTTTTCGCAACTGATTGGCCTCATACACGGTTCGAGGGTCTCGATATCAGGCCATGGATGGAGAAAGTAGTTGGTTGGTGTGGTGAGGATGAGCATCTCAAAGAACGGCTATTCAGAGGAAACGCAGAAGATCTGTGGGATGTTAAAAGATCGCCAAGAGCATAATATGTACGGTTGAGCGTGAGATATTCAAAAATAAGTGGATATATTGACCGACAATAGTTATAGGAGATTTGGTATGGTCGGCTGCGGTCTGTTGAAACTGGCCATGTATATTGATTAAATGCGATATTAAATGCGACTTTATCGTCACATAGTAACGTCACTCATATCCTACAAGTAGATTCAGCCGGCCCCAGCCTCTTACATTCTGTAAATCTGCCTTGTGTAAGATCGGTCCTTGGTAAACCCAGATAGCATCTGCCTGTACCGTTAGGTCAGGGATAGCACGGCTCGCCGTGAACATGATAAACCCAACTATGCGGCCCTCGACAGGAAGGCTTCCTATATGGAGCCCAGAACTCAAGAGATGCCGACTCTAATTCATACCGCTCTTGAGGTCGGTTGGTTTCCATGTCTTAGAACAGTTGTCGGGACTTGCCGAAGCTTTTGATGTGCCCTATGTCGACCATTTCTAGTTCCCAGCTGTCGATGGCGGCTAGGGCGGATTGTTATGCCAAGACAACCATTCTCAGTCTGGGGCCCAATGAGGTCGGCAAAATCAAGTTGATCGACTGGAACATCGAAAAATTTAAGTTTTGTTATCCCAGCGCATGTCGATATCGGATCATCAGCCAGAGCCAAAGCAGTAAGATTTGGACGTGCTTAGCCGCATGAGGCTTTTCAACTGAAGCTCTGAGGATTGTTCCCCGATTCGTAGATAGCACCGACTCTCACACTCAGTGGCTCAAATGTGGACAGTGCTTCGAAAACCCCGCGGTCAACAGCCATCGCATCCGGGTTCATGTTGTCAGCCCACGGTGTCTGGAACAGCTGTTCGGGCTCATAGGGAGATTGTTGTGTAGGTATCTCAAAGGAAGATGGGTAAACAGTCTCTGTAATTGGTATATCAGTCGGCATTGAAACCTCTGATATTTGCTGCGACATGGGTTGTTGTTGCAGCGGCGTGTTGAAGCCCGGGTTGAGACCAAGATTGATCATTTCTCTAGTGATTAAATCTAGAGCGCTTGAAATTACTGCCAGTGTGTCAGATCTGAATTAGATATTCGGTTGTGCCACTTACCTGGATTGACCGTCTTGGCTTGTTGTAAGGCTCGGACGCAAAAGTTAAGTTTGCGAACCGCCTGCTGGTTTTCTGGGGTAGCCTGGACTTGCAGAAGGAAAATGGTTGCCGCTATATACACACTGTAAGAGAGTGACAGAACACAGTGGTTGATAGTAAAGGTCCTGCAAAAGAGATCAAAGATGGCGATAATGGCTGTTGCAGATGTGACACATTCCACGAGATGATTTTGCATGGGATGCGGGCCCTCGTCATCTGGATACACTTGCCAGGAGAGCATAGGCCTGAACAGAAGAATCCTGAAAGTGTGATACAAGGCGCTACGACAAGGTTAGACGTCTTGAAGGAACAATAATCGAGGATGCTTACTTCATAGTGACAATATGAGAGGGCGGTGCTAGCTCTGGCATGGCAGAGAGCTCGATCTTGAGATAAGGCGGAAGTTGGTCCCACCATAGCTTCATGGCAGGGTCCTGAGTTTGAAGGCACTCTTGCATCTCTGCCTCTGTATTCTCCAACAGTGGGTCGTACATATGAATGAGAATTTCGTTGAAAATGACAGACAATCGACATGCACTCATAAAGCAAGAGGTGGAATGAGCTGTCGCAGGAGGATACTTCCAGTCTGAACCATTGGGAGAATCGAAGGGAACCCAAAGCTCATTTTCGGCAGAGTCATCCACTGAAAAAAGTAAGTAAAGTGGCAGTTAAAGAAGAAAAAACTTACTAATGATCTGCGGCGGTGATACAAGCGTGTGTTGCAGTGAAGGAGAGCGGCCAAGGTAGAGGCTTATGATCTTATCCCAGAAATAACAGCTCCAGTACAATCGATGCCTGATCTCAACCTCTTCATCGGTCAAGTGAACGGATCCGGGATATCTCTGTCCATCAACGCATATACCTAGATGGTCGATTAGGCGGAAAGCTATGCCGCTGTAAATCCAGGCTTGTGTCGTGTTTCCATGGCCACATTCTCCAGCACTGAGAAGGAGCAACGTCTGGACTGTTGGGATGGTGCAAACGCCTCTGTTTAGTTCGTCGAAAAGCATGCTTCTAGCATGTTTTGCGAAAACCGCACCGCCATCATAGGATTGGTCGAGTAGTTGTTTTGTCGAGGGATCACTTTTGCCCCAACGGATGGAATGTGAAAGCATAGCATTTAGAAGTGTGTGAGAATAGTAAGGCCCCATCGATTGCATATCACCTGTCAATGTTAGATAGTCTTACAAAAGCTTAGAGTTTGAGTCATACGAGTGAAGGCTGGCCTGTAAATGAAGTTGAATAAGGGCTGGATCCAACACCAATGGACGTTTAGGAGATACTGAAATGGTTCCTGCGTGGTGTAAGTTTGAGAACACAGGCCAATCTAGATTGGCGGACATACTGGAATATCGGATAAGTTTTCCATTGCACGCTGATGCCATGCATTGTTTACTAGGCGCTCTCGCCTATGAGCATCTGAGTCAATGGAGGATATTGAATCCGGCTTGTGCTTGTGAGGGTCACTGGGGAGGTTGAAAAGACTGGTAGGCCCATGATAAGTAATTCCACCCTTGTCGTCGATCTTGAGACCCATGAAGCTCCTCGTCATGCCATGTTCATCTGGATGGCGATTCAAGTCGTGGCCGTTCCAGACGCCCGGACTAGAATGATTTGAAGCGGCAATTGAAGGTGGGGATTTAATGGCAGCAAGTTGATCCTCGAGCTCTTTGATGCGTTCCTCAAGCCGTTGGGTATAAGACAGAGTCGGGTTCCTATGACACGTGAGCAATTGCTCAGAAAGTACAAAGGAGCACACGACCAAAGGGCCGAAGGGGTCAGTCCCACAGTTTGTAAATACAGTCATCGCTCCTAGCAGCACAACGGTTGCAGATGGGTTGCTCGCCGCCGCACTTGACCTATGAAAGTATCAGCGCTGGTAGGTCAGAGACAAGAAGTAAATGTGCATATTGACCTTGCGCCTACGACACGGCTCACACGAGAAGGCGCTCTTCTTTGTGGCTTTGACGGACGACATGTTGTGCCACAAGGTCTAGTGAGTCAAGTAGGTTCTTGATCGAATATCGGTTAAGAGTCGTGAGCTTTAGGCAATGAGCCCCGCGTTAGACATTGGAAACCCCACCTAAAAAGGTTGACTTTGGCCGGGTCTGTCCGATAGTGAAGTTGAAGATGGATTGTTGAACCGAGGGACAGATTATGACGGTCAAGGTCGCTTTCTAGGGGTCAGAAAAGAGGCAAGGTACAGTTCAGAGTCCGAGTAAACGAGAATTCCCCGTTTTGTAACTATGCAGTGCAGTTAAAGAGACAGGCCACAACCCAAACCAGTCCAGGCCGGGCCAGGCCACTCAGTACACGGAGCCGACGTTGCGTTGGGCCGGCGCAAAAAAACGACAGGAGGCCACAGTGGGGTGCGTTAGAGTCTGTGTAAGCGATTCTCTTGACGCATGAAAATCAGTATCAATCAATTGATGGTAACCGTATCTTAGAGAGAAGAGACCAAGAATGATGATCGAGAGCAATTGCAGTACAGCAAGAGATGATCACGTGGGTCATGTGCTCTTTCTGCAGGATGGCAGATGGTTCCTGCCATTCGGATCAAGACAAAGCCATTTCTACAAGGTGCTACCTTCCCTGTAATTCAGGCTTGAATATCCCTGCGATGCACCGCTATGACGACTGATTACAATCGTTAAGGCTTGGCTACAACACTTGTGGCTCTATTCTTTAAATCATAAACATGAATGATTTACCGATATTAGAACACCCTGTTCCTACAGTTCTTTGTCTTGGATTGTCCCGCCAAGCGAGTCAACCCCGGAATTTGAACCCCCGTTCCGGTACCGAGGTGAGGAATCGGCAGCGGCATCTGATAAGAATACCCTCGTATCTTAGTTGATATAGCTACACACGCATAAATGATGATTATTGGCACCATTCTATTACTCACCGACTTATTCTGATCGATTGAAATTATTTTACTAATCCTACTTCACGTACCCTTTGATCCAGAGCAGAATTATGAATTAGTTGACATCGGGTGAGCGGATCCAATTCTACCCACTTTCGCGGCGGTTCAAGAGCATCGATATCCGGCGCAGTGGATGCTGTGGAATAGGATCGTGAACAAGTGTTTCTAAGCTTGTATAGTACTGACTGCTACATCGAGGAATTTGAAACTGACCCGGGACAATTACTCCTAAACTCCAGCAATGCCTGTTCGATATCCGGATATGCAGTACGCTCCTTCATTATTCTCAAATATACTATATTCTACTTGCACAACGTTTATGGCATGTGACATCGATTTCGCTCACATCGGACAAGTTCATACATGCATGCATAGACTACGTTAAACCTTCACATCCTGTATCCTGGTTTCTGAGTTGTACAGCATGAGAGCCAAGGACTCGAGACAGGGTTGTTTGTTCATCTGATGATGTGACGCCCAGAGGCCCAGACCTATGATCGAATACGAATTTCTACTAAATTATAGCCAATTCTGAGGATGTGAGCAAGAAACATATTCATGCAACCATTTACTAATGAGTTTCGAGTTTCAACTTACAGACACCTTTTTGCCACTCACTACTGTCCCAATTTAGATGATCTTCAACAGGGATCATCGATGAAACTACGGCGGGGTCAACGAACCCTGATCCAGCCCAAAACGCGCATCGACGTGTTCCCCTGAATCTTCTCTTTCCACCTTCGCCAATCCCTATCATCATGTCGTCCAAAGCAGCGTCTATTCTCAAGACCGCAGTCTACTCAATATGGTCCTACCAGTGGGGCTTCCTCACAGCAACTTTCTGCATCTATCATGAACTCAGCATCCCGAACCCCTTTTACGCGATCCTGACAACAGTCTTGACTCTGCCTATCCCCCTGTCAATGGAACTTTTTCTTCTCTACACTGCGGCTT